ATGCTTGAACTTTTCAGTTTCTAAGCTATTTTACTGAGAAATCACAGAACAGTGTTGACAACACATTTCCGCGCTGAATGATTCTGTGCTCGCGGTCTGCGCGTGATGTACGCGCTACTGTCTGTAGCCTATGTGTGTGCGTTACAGTGCAGCAGCGCATTAGATTAGAACAGCGATTAATTTACCTGCACAATAAGCTGTTTAAAACGTGCATTCTCCCGTTCAATTTCGAGCATCCAGTAATATAATCACACAGGTCTTGTGGAGCGCTTTCAGAGTATGCATTTATTTGTCATTTTAACTGTTTGGAAACAGAGCGTAAATGTGGAAGTCCTTCAAAGATTTCTTATCCTGTTGCGCCCTCTATAGGACCAGCAACTAGTCAACGTCAAGCTTAAAGCGTCATGGCAGAGCATTGAAGTTGACTAGTCGATGCAGCCCCTAGTGCGCACAAGCTTCTGCTTTTAAACCCGCACAGATAAGCCTGTTGCTTCGACTGAAAGGAGTCTAAGATGCCCGGAAATGCTGTTGAGAACGCATCATGTCTAACAAAACTACTAACTCACAACCAGTGCTGGGTAGATAACTTAAAATTTGTGGTCTGTTACTGATTACAAATTACATGACAAAACTTGTAGTCAGGGTTGCCATGTTTTCACAACAAAACCCGCACAACTGCTACTCAAAACTAGCCCAAAACTAGCCCAAAACTAGCCCAATCGCGTTTCGAGGGGGGTTCCCTGGTAAAAACCGCGTTCCGGAAAACCGCGGACTTGGCAACACTGATTGTAGTTAGTAACACGATCTGGATTACACATATTAGGTAATGTAGTCTGACTACTTTTTACCTAACTCGTTTATCATATAGACGTGAATATGATTACTGTTCCATATCGATAAAAAAAAGAGAAAGAAAGACAATACATTTCATTCTCTGTTATCAATATCATGAAATGCATTAAACATTACAGTACAGCAGGGTTTCTCAAACCGTGGTTCATGAAAAAAAAACTGTAGGGTTTTCATGAAAAGCAAAAAATTAATGTAATCATAAAAATGACAAAACCTTGGGAATCCCTAAATTACATTAAAAAACATAGATAAGCATGAAAACATCGCATTGCATGGTCAAAGTCTTCCAGGTTTGATATATTTTGGTCCAGACCTCCAGTATTAATAAATAGCGAACGTCACTGGATATGATGAAGACATAGTATTTTATAGTTATGCATCGGCAGCATATAGTAACCAACTTGCATAATTATTAGTCTCATGTATATATAAGTGGTAGGTTGAAAAAAAAAAAAGAACTGGGGTGAATGAATCAATTATGAATGATTTACTGCCTTTGCGTGAATGATATGTATTCATGTTATCCATAAAAAAGTAACTGTAATCTGATTATGAGCATTTTAAGTACTTCATTTTTGGAATCTGATTACGTAATCCAGATTACATGTAATCAGTTACTACCCAGCACTGTTCACAACATACCAAAAATCTGTTATGTTTGTTGAGGTCAGTTTTATATACATTTAAAACGGATGATTTCCGTTTTGTACCTTGATGATGTTTTGTAGGACTTTCTCGTTGATAACGGCTTTGTGACAGGCTGTTTTATGATATAGATCAACCACCACCTCCAAAGATCGCTCCGCAAACGGCACGTAGTTTAAGGCCACCCACTCAGCCTGGACACAGACAGAAAAGAAAAACAAAATAAAGACAGTGAATATAAAAAATTATGTATTATTAAACGAACAAATGTCTCCTCCTCAGCCGCAAAGACAAATGCCAGAGTATCAGAGAAGGACTGTGAATAATCAACACACAAACACTAAATCTCCACGGCTGGTCTCCACATCGGCTCTTAGTTCACACATTTTTATCACATTATCCCTACTATCTGTAAAATGAGCTACAGGACTGGACTTAAATGCAGCAGATGCCTGGAAAAACAGTCCCTACAGATTTCCACTTCAACACTAGTAACATTTGTGTCAAATTTCAATAACTAGTTCCACGTTACTCTGACACGGAACATAATATTAGATGAAAAGCAGCAAATACAGGCCAAGCACAAGACTGATACACACAAGGGTGAGTAGATTTGTTTATATCAGCCCTGATGCTAATTTGAGCAAAAGTAGTTCAAAGGCTTTAGATTCAGCATCATTTAAAGGTAAAGTGGCACCAAAGGCAATTGTAAAAATGTTGGTGAGAAAAAAAAAAATTTTACTTTTAAAAATTACAAAAAAATATATATATATTGTACTCTAAATTGTTTCATTACATTTTTTGGATGATATATGCATTTTGAACAGCTGTCACCAAACCCCAAAAAGTCATGTCATACTACTTTTTACACTTTACATTGGAAATGGAAGGCCAGGTCAAGCACATTGCATTGTGGGATACTTTTTTAATGTAGTTTTTTTTTACTGTACATTTTGATAAATGTAGTGGGTCACTGAAATATGCTATCTATACAGAAAATTGGCGTACTATGCACAGTATACATACTGCAAGTAAGAGTAGTATGGTAGTATGCTATTCAAAAAAGACAGTGAATATAAAAAATAATGTATTATTAAACGAACAAATGTCTCCTCCTCAGCCGCAAAGACAAATGCCAGAGTATCAGAGAAGGACTGTGAATAATCAACACACAAACACTAAATCTCCACGGCCGGTCTCCACATCGGCTCTTAGTTCACACATTTTTATCACATTATCCCTACTATCTGTAAAATGAGCTACAGGACTGGACTTAAATGCAGCAGATGCCTGGAAAAACAGTCCCTACAGATTTCCACTTCAACACTAGTAACATTTGTGTCAAATTTCAATAACTAGTTCCACGTTACTCTGACACGGACCATAATATTAGATGAAAAGCAGCAAATACAGGCCAAGCACAAGACTGATACACACAAGGGTGAGTAGATTTGTTTATATCAGCCCTGATGCTAATTTGAGCAAAAGTAGTTCAAAGGCTTTAGATTCAGCATCATTTAAAGGTAAAGTGCCACCAAAGGCAATTGTAAAAATGTTGGTGAGAAAAAAAAAAATTTTACTTTTAAAAATTACAAAAAAATATATATATATTGTACTCTAAATTGTTTCATTACATTTTTACATAATATTAGATGAAAAGCAGCAAATACAGGCCAAGCACAAGACTGATACACACAAGGGTGAGTAGATTTGTTTATATCAGCCCTGATGCTAATTTGAGCAAAAGTAGTTCAAAGGCTTTAGATTCAGCATCATTTAAAGGTAAAGTGGCACCAAAGGCAATTGTAAAAATGTTGGTGAGAAAAAAAAAAATTTTACTTTTAAAAATTACAAAAAATATATATATATTGTACTCTAAATTGTTTCATTACATTTTTTGGATGATATATGCATTTTGAACAGCTGTCACCAAACCCCAAAAAGTCATGTCATACTACTTTTTACACTTTACATTGGAAATGGAAGGCCAGGTCAAGCACATTGCATTGTGGGATACTTTTTTAATGTAGTTTTTTTTTACTGTACATTTTGATAAATGTAGTGGGTCACTGAAATATGCTATCTATACAGAAAATTGGCGTACTATGCACAGTATACATACTGCAAGTAAGAGTAGTATGGTAGTATGCTATTCAAAAACAAATGTTTATTGGCCATACAATTCAAAAGTTAAAAAGTATACAAAAAAATTACTGTTGGTGGCGTTAGAGAGTTTGAAAAATTGGCATTAAAGAAGTTGAGACTCTACACTATGAGTGTCAAAATTTAAAACTTTTCACCACACGGTTCTAAGAAATGCCATAAAATAACTATTCATTTGTTGAAGTTTATTTTGGCAGTTGTTAGAATTAATGAACAAATGTGGCTGATGGAAATGAATGGAAAAAAACCAAATGTCATAACAGTATGAAGAGCGAAGTTTGTCTAATAGAGCAGTTAAATGGAGCTGAAATTAGCCGAAGGGGAAAACCGAAGAGAAAACGAGGCAGAAAGCAAACGAGAGACAGAGATATAGAGGAAGACAGCGGGAGGGAGGAAGAACTCACCGGTGCAAACAGTTGGATCTAAAGTGGATCCATATGAAATACAAAAACAGAACAAGAGAAGAGCAGACAAATGTTTACTACCACTGCTGATCACAACCGCACAACACACTAATGAAACTACTTTAAACGATGACAACAACAAAGACGAACAAACGTTTGGTTTGAAAGTCATGTTTAAACATACTTTGCACCTAACCTAAAGGATGGGTTAACATTTCAATATCTCACATTTCTACCAGTTTATAATTATAACTTGTAAACTGATCCACATCTTTATCCAAACTCCAATTTGACACAAACTTGATCCAAACTTTAAATAAATGATCAAATTTGAAAAGTAACGACATGGTCCAAAGTACTCAAACGTGACTAAAAGAGGCACAATGCAACTGAAAGAACATAAAAACGCCATGCGAAGAAAACTAAATCAAATATTTTCTAAACAAAGCCACCGAAACTATCTATTGTCCCAAAATATATATTAAATGGTCTTAGAACCACATAAAAAACTGAGGGAAAAAGGCAACTGTAAACACAGCAAAAGAGCATAGACTTCAAAAAAGCAGATAGATCATCACATTTGGAAACGGACACAGAAATTAATGTTTTATAATGATGATAAGTGTATGTATGGTGAGTCATTAAACAACAATGATCAAGACAAACAGAGCAAAAGCAAATCCACCATCTTGAAAACAGATGAAAAGGTGAAGACCATGTGAGGTGGAAACAGGACAGAGACTCACCTGGTTGTATTTGGCATTGGCCACATGTTTGGTCTCCATCTTTCCATACTGAGGAGGTTTACAGGAGAACTCCACGAACAGCAGAAGCTGCTCAAAGATGGCGGGATACATCACCTGGAGATTCTCCGAACCCACACAAATTGCCTAGAACAATGACATCTCTCAATCTCATTCAAACATCCAAAAAGATGAAGAGTCTACAAAGAATCTCAATCACAATCAACTGATCTAGTTAATATAACAGATGTGTAATCAACCAAAAAATCCATGATTTTCAAGGTTGTTTTGCTGTAGACAAGTCCACTTGTCATCAGAAATTGGTTTGTTTGATTGGTTGGTGGAAAAACTAAGAATGGGACTGAATGGATGATTAGTGCTTGTGTGGTACTTGCATTAATAATGCAAATTAATCCACGGGCAAACCACACAACAGAATCATCCAAGTGTGAAAACAACCACAAATACCGCAACCAAAAACAAACTCTTGACGGTCCACTTAAAAACATAACGCTTCATTAAAGGATTAGTTCACCCAAAAATGAAAATTAGTCCATGTTTTACTCACCCTCAAGGCATCCTAGGTGTATATGACTTTCTTCTTTCAGATGAATCCAATCGGAGTTATACAAAAAATTGTCCTGGCTCTTTTAAGCTTTGTAATGGCGTGGGCGGGTGTTTTTGTTGAATGAATGAATGATGCATTTATATAGCGCTTTATTGTGTATTGCTGTACACCCAAAGCACTTTACAATCATGAGGAGGGGTCTCTCCTCATCCACCACCAGTGCGCTCACCACACACCAGCTACAGGTGGAGAGGAGAGAGAGTCATAGAGCCAATCAAGTGGATGGGGATTATTAGGAGGCCATGATAGACAAGGGCCAGTGGTGGCAATTTGGCCAGGACACCGGGGATACACCCCTACTCTTTACTCTTTATTTTTACTGACCATAGAGAGTCAGGACCTCGGTTTAACGTTTCTTCATCCGAAAGACGGATGTTCAACAGTCCAAAAGTAGTCAAATAAAGTGCACGCCTCCATATTAAAACACACATCACACGGCTCTGGGGGGTGAATAAAGGCCTCCTGAAGCTAATCTATGTATTTTTAAGACAAACATCCATATTTAAAACAATATAAACACCTTTTTCTCACTTCTGCTAACTGTCGTAGGCGGAAGTCGTTCCAGGCAGATGACGTAGGACGTAGGCCGGTGATTAGTGACGAACGCAGAAGCGCAACGGAGAGAGAACAAAACAAAATGGCAGTCACAAATTAGAAACACAAAACGAGGATTTGTGAAGAAAAATGTCAGAGGATTTCGATATAAGCCAAGAGGAGACTGGTTTTTCTTTGGTAAAGTAAGGAAACTTTGCTTCCTTTGCTCCTGTAAACAAACGTTGGTTTTCGCGAGACTCACACGCGCATGTGCTAGACCTACATCCTACATCATCCACCGGAAAGGCAGTCTCTCGTGAACGCACATACGACGGTTAGCGGAAGTTACACAAAACTGTTTATATCATTTTAAATATGGATATTTTTCGCTATCGATCGATACAGGAGGCCTTTGTTAACCCCCCGGAGTCGTGTGATGCGCGTTTTAATATGGGTGGATGCGCTTTATTTGACTACTTTTGGACTGTTGAACAAAAACACCCACACCCATGCCATTATAAATATTGAAAGAGCCAGGACAATTTTTCATATAACTCCGATTGGATTCGTCTGAAAGAAGAAAGTCATAGGATGCCTTGAGGGTGAGTAAAACATGGACTAATTTTCATTTTTGGGTGAACTAACCCTTTAACCAAATTCTGAAGGTTTTCTACCTTCTGCAGGATGTCAAGGGCAGTCAGAACCATTTCCTGCAGACTGGTGAGCACCGCTTCCGTGTAGGAGGGCAAGATGAAAGGCGAGGAATCTGAGCTTATGGGTACCGACACAGCTCCATGCAGAATCACCCCCAGCTTCTTGAGATCTTCCATGCTGAACCCTCCTGCGATGTGCTGGTACAACGCTGGGAAAATCTGTATTAGCGCCGTCAGGAAAGGCTGACTAGGTACGAACACTAGTTTATCTGTTCCACCACTAGGGGGTCGCGTGCACTCGGTTCCTATTCGGTACCAAGTGTTCCACGCTGACCACCAGAGGGCCGAGTCGTCCAGCTCCTCTCCAGGTGGTGGAAGTGAAGGTTGGGCACCGTAGCGCTGGGCTAGTCGCTCGGCAAGGGAATCGGATCGGACTAGGGGTCTTCCTGGCCCAGAACCTTGTAGAGACTCCATAAGGACAGGAGGAACGTCCATTGTGAGAGCGTCGGGTTTATCCGTGTCTTTAATGGGCGTGACTAGCTGGAGGATCTCCTGGAAGCTCTTGAGGGCGGCGAGGGAAACTTCATTGTTCTTGCTGAGTGCAGCAGACTGGATGTGGTCCAACAGAACTTCCCAAGCCTTGAAAAAGTCACCTGCAAGCAAGAACATGACTTTTAGAACCAAATTCTGAGATACGTCTTTGAGAACCACATGTCTCAATGCCTACCCAGCTGCTGAAGCAGGTATCTCCTGGTGTTGAAGATCCGAGCTACGCCCGCGAGTGTCAGGACCCATGTTTCCGCCCACTGTTTCTCTGCTGTGTCGCGTGAGTGGTGGATGAGGATGTTTCCACCTCCGGATTCGATCTTTTCCTTGTCGGCCGTGGTGGAGGACTTCCTTACACAGTCCAGCAGATCAAAGAGAACCTGTGGAGCAATGATGTTTGGTTATTAGCAACAATAACAAAAGAATTTGAACTAGAACTGGGTTTAATTTGGTCACCGTTCAAGTCTGATCCAGCAAAGCAATTTTAACTAGAAATGGATTTAATTTGGACCCTGGTCAAGTCTGATCCAACAAATCAATTTGAACTATAAATGGATTTAATTTGGTCCCCAGTCAAGTCTGATCCAACTAATCAGTTTTAACTAGAAACGGATTTAATTTGGTCCCCAGTCAAGTCTGATCCAACTAATCAGTTTTAACTATAAATGGATTTAATTTGAAACCTGGTCAAGTCTGATCCAACTAATCAGTTTTAACTATAAATGGATTTAATTTGGTCCCCAGTCAAGTCTGATCCAACTAATCAGTTTTAACTAGAAACGGATTTAATTTGGTCCCCAGTCAAGTCTGATCCAACTAATCAGTTTTAACTATAAATGGATTTAATTTGGTCCCCGGTCAAGTCTGATCCAACAAATCAGTTTTAACTAACTATAAATGTATTTAATTTGGTCCCCAGTCAAGTCTGATCCAACTAATCAGTTTTAACTATAAATGGATTTAATTTGGTCCCCAGTCAAGTCTGATCCAACTAATCAGTTTTAACTAGAAATGGATTTAATTTGGTCACTGGTCAAGTCTGATCCAGCAAAGCAATTTTAACCCCCTGGGGTCGAAGCCTGCACTGGTGCAGTCTGTCTCTTATTTTCTTGATGACCGCAAAAAGAACTAAACATACTCCTTAATTTTTTATCGTACAGATAAGCATAAGGTATCATTTGAAACTGCAAAGGGTCTACTTTTATTTGTGTATAGTCATAATAACAACAAAACAATGTGCTTTTGTAAAATAAAGAAAATAAAAAGGGTGCACTCTGTGCTGTCTCGGTCACTGTCAACTCTCTTCACAGACACGTAAATAAAACAACCTGAATCTCAGCGAATACTTGCCTCAAAGACATGAAACATATATGCATATAAAGCTTGAAATGTCTGCTTTTAAATGAAGTCACGTCCAAAACAAATATTCTCTGTTAAAGTAATCCATATGAAACCAACACGATGTCCAGTTTTCCCGTCTCAACTCATTATATCTAATGGGGTCACACCCACGAGCCGATCGTGCTTTTCAAATTCTAAACATCCATGTGAGATGCACGCGCATGTAAACGTCCACATCTCCTCCGTGTAAACAAACAAGCTCATCCCGGCTACTTTTTGTTTCTGGAAGACGCGCTGAGAGGAATAACCCAGAATTTACCTAAGAAAAAGAACACAACGTGATGCGTTGCGCAGCTAGATCCAGTGGAGGATATCATTCTGATGAGTAGCCTAAGATTACTTGCATCTGTTGTTATTGTGTTATTGTAACATAACTTGTTCACATTTTACTAGTTAGACTTTTCCCAAACTATGATTTCATACATGTAGTCAGGAATTATGTGAAACATTTTGAAATATGTGTCATTTCATTGTCTAAATGTCTAACAGCGCCAGGATGTGTTTAATGTTTTATAACATAAAAAACCACAAGATATTAAAGTAGTGTTAACACTATGATATTAGAGTCTATGAATGTTTGGCACAAAGGTGTGTTACTGTTCAAGTCTCACTGTTCAGATCAGTATGTTCAATCATGTGTCCTTGACCTTCACTGTGTATATTTTTATTAAACTGTTGTAAATAAAATACAAATAATAATCAAAAACCTACATTATTTTATTCTCCTCACTCTCTCTCTTACCTGCCTCAATCACATTCATATTGATGGCCCATTATGGGAGGCCCTCTGTCTCTCAGGTGTGAATCACTAAATATTCATGGCCATTATCACTCCCTCGCATAAGGGATTTATATCACAAAACATGTTTTACAAATCATTTTTAAGTTTTCTGTGAACGAGTGAACATGATAATATTCACATAACTTTGTAGCAAAATCTCTAGTCTACCACATCCAGTTCTCAAAAGTCTTGTGAACAAATATTCTGTGTGTTTTATGGCATTATTTCAGTGACTTTAAAAATTTAATTTTTCACTAACCACGCATAAACATTGTTTTCTCAAAAACACAAACATGTACTTTCATGCTGCATCACATATTAGCCCAGTTTGTGCTGTATACAGTGTTATCAGACTTCAGCCATTAATGTTTTTTTAAGATACTGAAAAAAACAAATGTCAGGGCATGCCAAACCTTCTCCAGGGCCCCCAAACACCCTTAGACCCCAGAGGGTTAACTAGAAGTGGATTTAATTCGGTCTCCAGTCAAGTCTGACTCAACAAAGCAATTTTAACTGGAAGTGAATTTAATTTGGTCCCCAGTCAAGTCTGATCCAACAAAGCAATTTTAACTAGAACTGAATTTAATTTGGTCTCTGGTCAAGTCTGATCCAACAAAGCAATTGTGGATCATCTCAGAACTCAACAAAGCAATTGTGGAACATCTAGAACTCAATTTAATTTGGTCCCTGGTCAAGTCTGATCTAGTAAAGCAATTTTAACTAGAACTGGATTTAATTTGGTCCCTAGTCAAGTCTGATCTAGCAAAGCAATTTTAACTAGAACTGGATTTAATTTGGTCCCTAGTCAAGTCTGATCCAGTACCTTCCAAACAACGATGTTCCAGGTCGGTGGTTGCAGCAGCGTGCCGTGAGCAGCAATGGTGGAGAACATTGTCTGGCCAGCGCTTTTCCTCACAGCCGGCCGTGGGTCCACACACAACTCACCCAGCTTGGCATTAAGATACTGAAAAAAACAAATGTCAGGGCATGCCAAACCTTCTCCAGGGACCCCAAACACCCTTAGACCCCTGAGGGTTAACTAGAAGTGGATTTAATTCGGTCTCCAGTCAAGTCTGACTCAACAAAGCAATTTTAACTAGAACTGAATTTAATTTGGTCTCTGGTCAAGTCTGATCCAACAAAGCAATTGTGGATCATCTCAGAACTCAACAAAGCAATTGTGGAACATCAAGAACTCAATTTAATTTGGTCCCTGGTCAAGTCTGATCTAGTAAAGCAATTTTAACTAGAACTGGATTTAATTTGGTCCCTAGTCAAGTCTGATCTAGCAAAGCAATTTTAACTAGAACTGGATTTAATTTGGTCCCTAGTCAAGTCTGATCTAGCAAAGCAATTTTAACTAGAACTGGATTTAATTTGGTCCCTAGTCAAGTCTGATCCAGTACCTTCCAAACAACGATGTTCCAGGTCGGTGGTTGCAGCAGCGTGCCGTGAGCAGCAATGGTGGAGAACATTGTCTGGCCAGCGCTTTTCCTCACAGCCGGCCGTGGGTCCACACACAACTCACCCAGCTTGGCATACAGGCACAACCACAGGCAGTCAAAGGGTGGTGCAGGGTGGAAGGGTCGGTTCAGAGGTTCACCTTTATCTTGGGCCTGTTTCAAGAGAACTGCTTCCTCCCTCTCCAGCTCCTCTGTAATTGCTTCTCCCCTTTGGAAGAAGTAGTCTGAGATGTTCCACTGCAGGGGAAGAAGAAGACTCTTGGTCATCCACTCAGTCAACTCAACTATCCCAAAGGAACACTCAACACTCAAGGTAAGGCTAAAGAGTCTTTAAATGCAACACTAGCAGTTCTCCTCACCAGCAAGCCGATAGACGTCAGGCTGATGTTTAGCTCCTGGTTCTGGAGCCCAAAGCTGCCGGCTACATCCACCACAATTTGTAGGCACATGCAAGGCATTGTGGGTAGGAAGTCGGTCACCACCAACTGCAGGCACTGGAAGGCTGTTCGTATGAGGGATTCACTGCGGAAACAAAAGGTATATTAGATACAAATGCGACACTCCAAGATCCACACTTCAGAATCTAAATGGTGAAGACTTTCTTGGTCAACCAGCCTCATAAGAAGAGCCATGCAGGTTGACTAAGCATTAAAGGGATAGTTCACCCCAAAATGAAATTTCTGTCATTAATTAATCACCCTAATGTCGTTCCTAACCCGTAAGACCTTCGTTCATCTTCGGAACACAAATTAAGATATTTTTGATGAAATCTGACCGCTCTCTGACCCTCCCATAGACAGCAACACAACTGTAATGTTCCCAGGTCCAGAAACGTAGTAAGGACTTCGGTAAAATAATCCATTTGTCATGAGTGACTCAACTTCCATTTTGCAAAGCAACTAGAATACTTTTTGTACGCAAATAAAACAAAAAATAATGACTTTATTCAACAATTCTTCTCCCCCAAGTTACGTCTTTCGCCATTTTGGAGAGTATCACAACACATACGCACGTTTTTGCCGAAGCGTAAACAATGCTTATTACGTTAATGCGCACGCTTCTGGACCTGGGAACATTACAGTTGCGTTGCTGTCTAATGGAGGGTCAGAGAGCTCTTGGATTTCATCAAAAATATCTTAATTTGTGTTCCGAAGATGAACGAAGGTCTTACAGGTTTGGAACGACATGAGGGTGAGTAATTAATGACATAATTTTCATTTTGGGATGAAATAACCCTTTAAACCAACTCTAATTTGCATAACCCCGCCATATGGGAGGGTCAGAGAGCTCTTGAATTTCATCAAAAATATCTTAATTTGTGTTCCGAAGATGAACGAAGGTCTTACAGGTTTGGAACGACATGAGGGTGAGTAATTAATGACATAATTTTCATTTTGGGATGAAATAACCCTTTAAACCAACTCTAATTTGCATAACCCCGCCTGGACCAATATGGAAATTCTTGCTCGTCTAAGATGGTATTTTCTGCAAGGTCAGGCTGTGTGTCTCACCCCTGGTCATTGCGGATCGCTCCAATGACCCCCAGCACCAGAGGCCATCCCGGTCCGAGACTGTCTCCCTGGTTCTGTAGGATCTGTAGGACACACTCCAGCTGTTTCTGTCGGATATCGGCGTGAAGGACGTTGGAGAGCTCCTTCAGAGGGTTCAGAAGCAACAGCTGCAACCTCTGAGGAGAACAGGGGATTGGTTAAAGATGTTGTCCAATCAATAACCCAAGTCAAACTCTGGAGTAGCACTGATTTCCGATCATCCAAATGAATTTCTACCTGGTTCTGGGACAGCGGTGGCTCGCGTTTGAAGGAGAGTCCAGCTTTGATCAGCGAGGTGATGGCCTCTGCGCCCCACTCCCTCATTCGAGCATTAGGATGCTGACAGACCTGACGAGATAATTGCACAATAGGCTTCATGTTCTTTTTCAATATTTCAATGTTTTCTTTTGATTTTGTGGTGAAATATGACACATTCTTGAACGGCTTTATGAGATTCACCCATTAATGAAATCAGCAACAACACAAAGACAAATCAAAAATTGCAAAAGGAGGGTGAAGACACATGGATGGACAAAATAACATCAATAACACAAAAAAGAGCAAAGCAATATATATTGCTCATAAAAAATAAATCATTATACAAATAAAGCATGCACACAGCCAAATTACACAAAATATAAATAGACTGATTTGCAAAATATTCTTAAATTATATTACATTTTTTTAGATCACGAGAGGAAACATTGCTTATTGGATTTGAATTGTGTAGATCACAGATTAGTGTGTTTTATGAATGTAAAAGTGAAGGTTTTGTGGTAAAGCAGATGATTAAATAATCTCAAAATAATGTGGTCATCACAGTCAGAAAGGTCCTTTCACATTATTCACATTAAACTAGTCAACTAAACCTGAATCTACCCCAACTATTTAAACTTTGACTCCAAGCTGTACAACACACAGCTGAAGATATAAAATAACATTCAGACAGTAATTATCTTATAAAATAGCCGTTCTGTGATCTGCTTTTCACGTGGAGGTCAAAGCAGCACATGACGCTTGTGTTGAAGCCCTGATGGGAGTCATGTGAAAGAAACTTAAGTGTGACAGTCGAGATCAGCTTGAAAACAAACAACATCTAATTAGCACAACAACAGGAGGCTGATTCATTCCTGAAAACACTGAACTTGAAAATAGACAATTTCATAAAGGGTGGTGAATGACAGATCGATTCAAAAAGGAGAGTCACTCTTTAGAGAGAAGTCTTTCTGAATTGAAAAAGAAAGTTCAGCACTTACCTTCTACAAAACAGACATGTTGCAAGAGACAGAGGAGGAAAAAAGATGGCATAAGACAGCATGAGGACATGAACTGTGCTTTAGCATTTATACAACTACAGAAGAAGTGTGAGTACAGCAGACAAGGACAGCAAGTAAAGACCAGAAAGATCAGAGCAGCCTGCCAAGTATTAAATATTAACATCTCAGAATAGGGCTCATCTCATTACAATAGTTATTTATTGTTCATTAGTTGTACAGGTATTAGTAATATTTGTTTTAGCAATATTAGTAGTATTCCAAGACCCTGAAGCAATATTACTAACGATTAGAGCTGAAGTACACAGAAAGATTAATGCTAAACTGTGTCAAATATAAATAAAACCAATGGATATATATATATAATATAATATATATATATATATATTAGTGCTGTCAAATGATTAATCATGATTAAATCCAAAATGAAAGTTTTTGTTTACATAATATATATGTGTACTGTTTATTTATGCATATATAAATACACACACATACAGTATATATTTTGAAAATGTTTCAAAAGCAGAAAGTGCGTTGTTGGTGTGGATTTGGCCTCTGGACTCACCTCCAGTAAATGAGCCGTCAGCGGCCTCCAGAGAATCTCGATCCGGTCCATATTAACCAGTCCGGTCTCTAGCAGTTTGGCCACCGCAAACAGAGATGGCTCCTAACCACAGAGATCAGAGAAATAGACAGATGAGCGCTGAATGATTATGTTTTGATTAAATGAATCTGTAATTAGCTTTAGCATCGGAACGCACCTTGTTGTTTCCGTAAGCCATCTCCATGGCCTCCATGGATAACGAGCACAGAGCGTTTATCAGGTGATGCAGAGAGACATCGTCCAGGTATCTACAATCACACACACATACCATGTAATTCTACAACTGCTCTACAAGAACACTTGACTGTTATAATTGAACTAAACAGCAGCAGCAGCACTCTTTAAAACTGATTTGATACTAAGTAAATCAAGTCAACTGAATTATTTCCATTCTGATGTTGGCGGATTCTTACTGTGAACTTTCAAAGAGTCTGGACAGGATATTTGATATGACGGGTAAATCGGTCATCACCGCTGTGGTCAAAACCTGCAACAGAAAAGAAATAAACACCATTATAAAGTCAAACACTTACTCTCGTCTTCTCTACCTTGCTTCCTAGTCTAATAAACCAAGTATTGCATATTACAAATATTGCCTTTGTTCCTCTTTTGTAAGTCACTTTGGATAAAACAGTCTCCTAAATGCATGAATGTAAACATTTATGAGGAGTCCTAGTAAGTTGCATATCTAGACCACATTTGTTTCAAGTCACCTAAAAAAATTTCTAGCATTAGTGAGCGATATCTTTATGTAAAAAGTGTTTCCTACTAGACAAAAATGCTGGTGAGACTTGGAAATCATCTATGATGCCTAAAATGCTGCTGAAAAAAATAATACAGTCACTTATTGCATTCCTCAAATAAACCCTGTTGTCTTGCAACTTGCCCATGGTGCACATAAACGCTGCTGTCTCAAAAAGCGCCTGTGATGCTCAAAATGTGTTCTAGGTAGGCAGCTCACTAGGCTTTGAGCAGCGCTGAGATCAGTGTTTTTTACCGTGCTCGGGCCCTCCACAGCTCGCCCGGGTTTCAGAACTCCACCGACAGCCGGTTTCAGACCCAGAATCCACACCAGATGCTTGTAGAGAAGAAGAGATAAAAATTAGTGAATGTCAAATACAATCAGGCAAAAAAAGAAGGGAAAAAATGAACCTCTTGTTCTTTACTCTTTAATAAAGACATATATTACTATTACACTGTATTGTACTGTAAAATAAAAAAGGTATTTATTAATAATAATAATAATACTTTTAAGGAGCAATAGTAAAACTACAAAACTAATATTTATTTCCGTCTTTCAAACATTAAATCATATATTATGTTATATTAATTAGTAAAACTTATTGTACGTTACAGTTTATATATTATATTAGTTAGTCAAATTTATTGTATATTACTATTTATATCTTAGATTTGCTAAATGTTTTGTATATTATTGTTTATATATTACATTGTATCTTTGTAAAATGTATAGTATTTTATAGTATTATAATTTTTTATAATGTTTTACTGTTTAAATATATTTAATTACATATATATTATTTGTAAAGTGTATTGTATATTACCGTTTATGTATTTTATTTATTTGCAAAACGTATTGCAAAACGTGTTACCGTTTACATATTATATGTATTTGTAAAATTGATTGTATATTTATTATATTTGCATATTTATTTATTTATTTATAAACTCCATATCACGGTTTAAAAAAGAAAAAAGTATTATTATACATTATATTATTACTAGGGGTGTGACGATATCCTTGCGCAAACTGGCTCTTTCACAAGTGGTGGTATGTAAGATATTTTATGTTCACATCAGGCAAGTGGCCGCATGATAAGCGGGAAAATTATGGCGTAGTCTTTATCCATTCATAACAACAGAACTCCCAGTTTAACGCGGAATGTCACGGAATTTGTCGAATTTTGAATGAATTAATCAAAAGTAGGTCATTACACTTAAATCAAATCACGATTTGGACTAGTATCTGTAAATATTAAGCCGCAAAAGTCGATTTATATAGACATGAATCCTGCATGCTCTGCCTGTCTCTGTTAATGAATGGCGCAGACGCGCGGTTTCATTTACTACACACACACTGAAGCGCACGTGACGCTCGCGGTGATTTCAGCGTCTGCCCTCGCACTAAATGAGGACGTAAACACATGAACAACATCTCCAGAACTGCTCTGAGAGTCACTTCATGAGCATTTTAGCGTTTGATTTGAGTAAAACTAGCGTCATATCACATACACAGAACTGTAAAGGTATTCACGGCAACCCGTCAAAATAAAAGTCTGGTTTGATTTGAAGACATTGTGCCTATAACTATTTTTCAGTAGAATGTACATAGCATACTACTACTACTAAAATGAAACAAACATTATTTTTTTTAAATAATCACACAAAACATGTCTTCCATGTTTTAATTTTAATAGTAAATCCCCTTTGTTTGCTAAAAAAAAAAATCTTGTTTGCTTAATTTTCAATAATTAAAAGATAAATTATAAATTATATTAATGTTTTATGCCTTAATTTGATAACCAGAAAAATGTAAATACACAACACAGAATTTCTGAGGGCGGGAAAAATTCATACGGCTACTTTAAGAAAAAAAATGAATAAATTAAGTTGTTTTATGCATTCAAATAATTAGACATGCTAAAACACAGAATTTGGTAACAATAAAAAATCTAAATAATATGGTGGGAAAAAATAAAACATTTCATAGGGCCCTAAACATGACATTTTTGTTAAACCTTTAATAAATTGATGTGAAAATGCATAAGTTTCATGATTTTAATTCATTAGACATGCTTTTTAATAAATAACATTTCATTTAACTATTAAAAAGGAGTCGAGAAATATTAAAACGAAAAAAAAAAATACAGAATCCAGAAAAATTTAAACGGAAAAAATGGAATTTGGAAAAAAAATTAATGGAATTTAGGAAAAAATAAAATGGATTTCACAGGGCCATGGCCCTAAACATGACATTTTTGTTAAACCTTTAATAAATTGATGTGAAAATGCATAAGTTTCATGATTTTAATTAATTAGACATGCTTTTTAATTAATAACATTTCATTTAACTATTAAAAAGGAGTCGAGAAATATAAAAAAAAAAAAAAAATACAGAATCCAGAAAAATTTAAACGGAAAAAATGGAATTTGGAAAAAAAATTAATGGAATTTAGGAAAAAATAAAATGGATTTCACAGGGCCCTAACTATCCCTCAGCCTTGCCGTGCCCCCCAGTTTGGGAACAACTGCTTTATTCTTTTAAATGGATACATTAATCGTGTTTATTATATATTTTTTTTATTAAAGTGGAAATCAGTTTACTAGATAATGTAAACTTGACTGACTGCTTCACTTCCACGTTAAAGGGATATTTATGTTGTGTATTATTTATTTTTATCTATACGATTTATAATTTTTGTGCAATTACTTGCCTGTCAGTTGAGTTTGTGGCAAAACATTTTGCAGTGTTTACATGTTGTTTATTGCTGCATAAAATTTATTAAAATAGATGTTTAATTTCATAAAGTGCAAGTTGATTTCAAAATGCACTTACTTTTTTGCATTTTGTGTTTTTCAGTTGAACAAAAGACTATTTTTCCCTATATATTTCAACAATGAGGATTTCTTTTAAAAAAAAGTCTAAAAATCTCGTCTCGTCTCGTCCTCGTGAACCCAGTCTCGTGTCTCGTCTCCCAGATAAGCACCGTGACAATGAGCCAAATTCAGCAGCGTCCGCATGCACTGAATGTTCTTCGCTGTCAGCTGATTCACAGACAGAGAGAGAAAGAAAAGCCCTCACAATTAACCTGGAACAATATTCAGCTGCACTTGAAACTGATTTAGAAATGAAGTCAACAACTTAAGAGTAGCTTGAGTTACTCTGTAGTCATAATTAGCTGTCTGTTTGGCTTTATTAGACTAAAACTCTTGTTGTCTGAAGTGCTGTTGCGCTCTGCCATAATTAACATCATATAAAAGCAACAGAAATCTATGATATGTTTTCGATAGCAAGGTAAACGTGTGTGATTTACCACTACGGTGCCCTGCGGCTGTGTGGTGAGCGGCTGACCCACTGCTACCACCTGCTGGTGAGATTCACTGGACGGACTGACCATCTGCACACTCTGACCCTGGATAGAGTACACTACATACACACACACACACACACACACACACACACACGCATTAAACTACATACACTTACACACACAAAGGTCCTAAGGCTTGTGGCCAGTGATGCACCGAAATGAATTTTTTACTGAATCACGAAATATACGTTTCCATTTACAGGGTTCCTACCCATTATTTTTCATTTCAAAATTCAACAAAAAAAACCCCTCAAATTTCCAAACCTCTCAATAGATTTTCATACAATATTTAACATAAATGGTCCATAGAGCATTATTTTCAGCTTTATATTTGGTCTATAGTTCAGTCATTTGTAAATATTTTTTATTTTCTCTGGGTTTTTTCATTGATTTTCTCGTGACAACACACAGAGTCCCTAAAATAAAAAGCCCTTAGGGTCTCTTTAACGCATACTTTGTAGAGGCCAAGAAAACACACTGTGAAATGGGCTGATGGCACAATAGGTGGCTTAGTGTGCATTGTCCTATATACTAAGTTTAATGGTTTCTTGTGCGCAAATAAAAGTCTGCATATTTTTTTATTTTTGCAAAGGTCCTTGAGACTATGTAATACGGTGCTAAGAATATTGTGAGAAGAAACCCAAAATGCTTATAGCCTGCATTTTGCATAATCAAAAAGTGCATATTTGACAATCACTAAAGAATCACTAAACAGCTGCCATGAAATCTCCCTGCTTGTACACTAAATTTATTTTCATTCAATTCTTCATTTTCTATTATAAAAACTAAATAGCGAAACAAATATTTTTCCATACTCTGCTTTCTTTTTTTCCATACTTTTCAAGACCTGGAAAATACTTGAATCAAATTCCATACTTTTCCAAACCCCGTAGGAACCCTGATTTAGACGAAAACCAGACTGAAAATAAAGTTTATTTAATAACAGCCATGCATTAATAAAAATAATAAATAAATAAAAACTGCTGATTTACAAAAAACAAACTAATTTGATTATGCTTAGTTCAAAAATATTAGTAAGAACTTTCCACAATGTAGTTCTTTTATTTATTTATTTATTTTGACGTAATATGAATGAAGATTTGTCCACTTGAGTTTATGTATCAGCTTTAATGCAATCTGCATTAATTTACAATCTGTGGAAAAATCCTACAATAAATGTCAAAGAACTTTACAAAAACATAAATATAAATTTATAAATGTATTTTCTGTTGCTATTTTGATAGAGTAAAACACCCACAGATGCAGCAGAAAACATCTGGACTATATTTGCATTTTCTTCTATCACTGGCCATAATTTTAACCTTGAAATCAGGATTAGGCATAAAATACAAAAACATGTGAAAATGGGCCGAGGATTGAACAAATAGTTGTAATCTGGTTCAGATGCAGACAGGAGTCGTGTCTTTGTGGCAGTTTTTCTGCTGATTAAAGGAGAATACAAGACTTCATCACCTTAAAAATGGTTTTCAAAAGCAAAAATGCTACAAAAATGCAAAAAGTGTGACATGCTCGAGCAAAACAAGCACTATTTCTGGAATTGGCAGCCCAAAATCAGTATGCAGGGAATTTATATCAATTAATTCAATTAATCAAATATATTTCATAACGCTCAAAAACTTGAGTTCCATGTAAGAATTGCACACAAGTCTGTCATCAACTTTTTAAATGATTTTTCAAATTTTGACAGAATTTGAAAACGGAGACTTTGTTTCTGAGCTTATTGTAATTATTGGATGGCAGGTAGTAGAGATGCACCGATCGTATATAATTTAAGAAACATAGTGGGAAATGACATCTGCTTTGTTATATACAGCAACTCCTTGTCAGTTAATTGTTATTTCTACCTCTTTTCTGGTCACAGAGCACTTTATTTTGAGAGTTTTTTAAGTGAGAGAACATGTAACCTTGTCCAGATTGGGGGGATTGTAATGTTTAATTGTTTTAAATAATGTTTGCATTAAAAAAGTATAGATTTTTGTTTGTATATGCTGTCAATTATAGTATTTAGAAAGAAAATCGAAATCGGCAAAAATCGGTATCGGCAGGTCACACTTACAAAAAAAAATATTTGCAATCAGAATCGGCCAAAAAAATTTGCAATCGGTGCATCTCTAGCAGGTAGACTACAAATAATATTTAGTGAAGTTTTGTTCATACATCACCTGAAATACATAAACTAAAAGATCTCGGTTCATCAAAACGAAGATCTATTAAAAATGAGAAATTGATATTGTTAATCCAGCACTAGCATCCACACAGCTGCACCATCGGAGAAGTGCTCAATGATTTTAGCCCTTCAAAACCCTTCAAAGCCCTTCATTGTTTCGGGTGGCAATGAGTTTTCGGTTTTGGCTGAAACTGTTTTGAAGTGCTAAAATCACTGACCAAAACTGTATTTTTGGTTGTTTATCTGCTTATCATAAGCTGTATTTGAGGTGAACGTCAGCATGTACCGCTCTCGTACCTTTATTGGAGAGGTTGGCAGCGTTGCTGCTCAGGATGGTGAGGGCGTAGTGAGGAGGGAGAGATGCTTTACAGATGGCCGTAATGAAAGCGTCACGCGGCGTCACCAAACCCAGACGTCCACACAGAGACGCCATGGACAGCTCCGCTTTTAGGATGTTTTCTGTGGCCGTCTCGTCCGTACTGACAGAAACACGGCAAATATCATCAGTACAGTCCGTCTGGTATGATTTATATATGCTAATCAGATTCATTGAGACCCTGGAGCACAAAACCAGTAACAAGGGTCAATTCTTTTAAAATTGAGATTTATACATTATCTAAGGTATATTAGGCTGAATAAATAATCTTTCCATTGATGTATGGTTTGTTAGGATAGGGCAATATTTGGTCGAGATACAACTATTCGAAAATCTGGAATCTGAAGGTGCAAAAAAATCTAAATACTGAGAAAATCGCCTTTAAAGTTGTTCAAATGAAGTTCTTAGCAATGCATATTACTAATCAAAAATGAAGTTTTGATATATTTACGGTAGGAAATTTACAAAATATCTTCATGGAACATAATCTTTACTTAATATCCTAATGATTTTTGGCATAAAAGAAAATCGATCATTTTTTGGTTTTGTGCTCCAGGGTCACAAGTATAAAGCTTTAGCTATTACAATAACAGTTAACATATAGTGATATATTAAGAAAGCATCCCGTACCTGGCATCCAGCAGAAGTGAAAGGGCCGCCAACAGGCCGCACCAGCAGGCGTTCACCATCTCCTCCCAAACCTCATGAGTCACTGCAAAACACACACGGCATCAATACAGGGACAAAACACTGGCATATACACATCACTGATTCTGACATTCATAATGAGCAGATTAGGGTTGTGTGGTTTATGTAACATTTACTGCATAATATCATACATCATTTGGTATCTGACTGTGTCCTGCTATTCAGCTCAGATTCATTTACAAACTTTGAACTGTTCTATAACTGTTTAATTTGTAATTTCCCTATAAATCAATCCAGATGCACAATTTGCACTCTCTGAATGACAGAACTTAATTATTATAGCTCAAGTATAAAATATACCACTTGCACACATTTTCTGCTATGTGCATCAAATTCACACATTTTTCACATTTTGTATTTATATTGTACTTATACTTGGTCACACTTTCGTTTAATGTACTGTTGTTATGTACTTGTTGTTATTATGTTAGTTGCTTGTAATTATACAGTAAGTACAAGTAACGTTTAACAATTGCACACTAAAATAAAGTGTTTTAGATTAGATTTTATTAATTTGTCCATATTATTGTGTTACTGTTTATACATTTCATAACTGTAAAATGTATTGTAATTGATTATATTATATATTTCATTATATTGTTACATTAGATTAGATTCATTTGTAAAATCCATTGTATATTATTGTTTAAATATTATATTTGTAAGATTTATTGTGTTACATTATACATTATATTATATTATCATTTATGCTATATTGTTATATTATTTTAGATTAGACTGAATTGGATTAATTTGTGAAATTTATTGTATGTTACTTTTTATATATGATCAGATTAGACTTATTTGTATTATTATTATTACTTATTTTTTTGTTAAATTTATTGGATTTTCTGTTTATATATATATATATATGTATACGATTATATCATATTATTACATTATATTAGATTAGATTTATTTGTAAAATGTATTGTATCTTCTGTTAGTATTGAATTATAGTATGTATAGTATGAATGATATATTACATTTGTTAAACAGTTAACACTACAATACAGTCCATTAGTTTATGTTAATTAATGCATTAACTAACAATTATCAATACATTTGTAACAGTATTCATTAACATCTTTAAATGTAAATAAAAGTATAAATTATTAATAAAAATGAATAAAAAAAAGTCATACAAATTAATTAATACAACTATTCAGTGTTAGTTCATGTTAGCTCACATCCATTAATTATTATTAAGACATACATATGGATTTTAATAACGTATTAGTAAATGTTGAAATTAATATGAACTGATATGAATAAATCATTTACAAGTATTTTTCATAATTAGTTCATGTTAACAAATGGAACCTTATTGTAAAGTGTTACCATTACACATACTGTTTATTACATATTACATTATATATAACAACACGTTATATAAAGTCACAGTATACTGGTTTTGCAGTCAGAGGTCAGCACAGAGCATAGTCTCATTATTAAAGAAATGCTCTCCAAATATACTTCAGGTTGAGAGATTCAAAGACCTCTGAGATGAGACACACAAACATGTGACGTCGACATGAACTCACTGGGTTCCTGAGGGCAGCTGTCTCTCTGTGGAGGACTAACAAGCTCCGCCTCCTTCCTCACAGCAGCTTCCTGTTCCTGTTTGGAGAGCTCTCTCTCGATCATAGACGTGATTCCCCTCACCAGATCCAGCAGGGCGCTGAAGGCCACAGACATGGCGTAACCTTCAGGGATGGAGGGCGGCTCCACCTTATCCAGCATCTCCAGACTGAGAAGAAACACACGTTAGACCAACAGCACGGACAAAGTAAACACTAGGGACTGATTTACCGTTTAAACGGAATTTGTAACCAACTAGTCTAGCAGTCAAAATACAGTCAAAAAAAGTATGAGCGATCCAATAGCCTATGAATCAAACAGTCAAATCCTATTCTGAATGCTGCTGAAAAATAGATCATATACGTGCAAGGTGCTTTCCTTGCGTTATGATTATTGTACATTAAACTTAAGTGTTCACTTAATCAATGTTAACCAATATAGACATATTATTAAAATCAACAATCAAAAGCATCTGTACACATGACAGGCAGCAAAATGACGCAAAAATATAAAGCAAAACAAATAGATGTAAATAACCAGTATGTCAACTAGACTTTTTCAAAATAATGCATTCATTTTTAAAATGCAACATTACCACGGCAGTTACTTTACTGTAGATGTAAAAATAAAAAAGCAAAACATAAATGTGGAAAAAATCATAATGTAAACGCCTAGTATGTTGACTTTTTTTGAAAATAATGTATTCATTTTTAAAATGTAACATTAACAAGACAATAATCTAAATATAGCCTTTGTAAAAAATATAATGCAAAACATAAATGTGCAAAAAAAAAAAATATGGATATGACTAGTATGTTAACTAGACTTTTTCAAAATAAATGTATTGATTTTTTAAATCTAATATTAATATGACAGCAATTTGACAGTTTTAAAAAATATAAAGCAAAATATAAATGTGCAAACAAATAATGCACATGAATAGTGTGTGGCAACCAGAATTTTTAAAATAATGTATTAATTTTTAAAGATTTATTGCAAAACATAAATGAACAAAAAAATAAAAAATATATATTTCTAAATTTAAAGCCAAACATAAATGTGCAAAAAACTTAAACAACCAGTATGTCAACTAGATTTTTTTTTTTAAATAATGTATTAATTTTTTTTAAATGCAACATTAACATGACAGTAATTTGAATGTTCTTCAAAATAAAACAAATGTGCAAAAAAATAATTATTATTATGTAAATGAACAGTATGTCTACTAGACTTTTTCAAAATAGTGTATTGATTTTTAAAATGCAACATTAACATGACAGCAATTTGACAGTTTTTAAAAATATAAAGCAAAATATAAATGTGCAAAAAAAAAATAATGCAAATGAATAGTGTGTGGCAACCAGATTTTTTCAAAATAATGTATTAATCTTTAAAATGCAATATTATAATGAGAGTAATTTAAAACATAGCCTTTGAAAAAATATATTGCAAAACATAAATGTGCAAAAAAAAAAAAAATGAAACAACCAGTATGTCAACTAGACTTTTTGAAAAGAATGTATAAATTTTTAAAATGCAACATTAACAGTAATTTGAAATGAGCAAAAACAACTAGTGTGTCGACTAGCAGCAGCAGTATCATTTAGTCGACTAGTCTCGCACATCCCTAGTAAAGGCTAGTCAGTACTGAAAGCGTGTGGTCACTCACTAGGTGGCTTTGGCACTGCCCTGGATGCTGACGTTCATGAGGGGGATCCAGGTGCCCCGGTACTCAAAAGCGGCCTGTGTGATCAGACCTCCCCCTACTGCTGCCACACCCGGACCTCCCTGAGCGGACCCCTGTGAACCCGACACCGACCCACCTGACACACACACAGTTTGACTTTCACATGAGACAATCAGTCATTATAACATGAAGATCTCAGCGCGCGCGTGTGTGTGTGTGTGTGTGACCTGCAGGCGTGCTGGTGGAGGAGGTGTTTCCTGCGCTGGGGAGGATGAAGAGGGACTGGATGAAGGAGCCCAGAGCGTTGACGATGTCTCTGAAGACTTTGGTGGAGTGCTGCTTCATGTCGTACGACTGACAGAAAGACCTGCACACATAAGACCTTCATGAACTCCAGAAGAAGAGAAATATCTCTGCAGGAAAACTAATAAAAACAAGCTTTTATATTATTAAGCCAACAAAAGATACCATTTGTATCACAAGATCTGTCAAAACATTCCACATAAGATTTTAGTTTAAAAGCTGATCTAAATCTAATCTGAAGTCTGAAGTCTGAAATCTGAATATATACAGGAAAGAGTATTTTTAGATCATATAAATTACATTACAACAAATTAATTTTTAAAAACAAACATTAAAAAAACTATATTTTTCAATTAGAAATGTATTGTATGTTGTTCATATATTATATTAATTTGTAAAATGTATTGTATTTTACAGTTTATATTTTAGATTCAATTGCATTAAATTCATTTATATAACTGATTGCATATTACTGTTTATACATATTAATGTGTACATGTATTGTATGTTACTCATTATATTTGTTATTACATTAGATTAGACTGTATTAGATTAATTACTGTTCATATACTATATGGCTTAATAATAAAAAACATGCATTTTATGCTATTAAGCCAATAAAATAAATGTATGTGAATGTATACAGGAAGAGTGTTTTTAGATGTTATTTGTTAGTAATTTTGTTATGTGGTTTTGTCATTTTTATTTAGTTGTCATTTCTATTCTATTGTTTGGTTTAATGTATGTTTAAGTTTGAGTTATTTTAGTATTTAAACATTTTATTTCAGTTAGTTTTTTTACATTGAAGTCTTTCATCTAATATCAATATTTTATTTCAGCTTTATTTCAATTAACAAAAATGAAATGATTTTTAAATAGTTTTCGCTAACAAGAAAACTGTTTAGGTTTTGGAAAATAGTATCTGCATAAAAATGAACAGAAGTAAAAAAAAAAAAAAAAAACAGAAGTAAAAATAAAATTTGTACTTCTAATAATTTTAGCATGTCAGCTTTTCTAAACATTTATAAAAAAAATTATGTGTGCGTCTGTGTGTGTGTGTGTCTGAGTCTGTGTGTGCGTCTCTGTGAGTGTGTGTGTCTGTGTGTGTGAGTGAGTGTCTGTGTGAGTGAGTGTGTGTGTGTGTCTGTGAGTGTGCGAGTCTCTGTGAGTATGTGTCTGTGTGTGCGTGTGTGTGTGCGTGTCTCTGCGTGTGTGTCTCTGCGTGTGTGAGTGTGTGTGTCTGTGAGTGTGCGAGTCTCTGTGAGTATGTGTCTGTGTGTGCGTGTGTGAGAGAGTGTGAGTCTGAGAGTGAGTGATTGAGTGTGTGTGTGTGTGCGTGTGTGTGTGCGTGTCTCTGCGTGTGTGTCTCTGCGTGTGTGAGTGTGTGTGTCTGTGAGTGTGCGAGTCTCTGTGAGTATGTGTCTGTGTGTGCGTGTGTGTGTGCGTGTCTCTGCGTGTGTGTCTCTGCGTGTGTGAGTGTGTGTGTCTGTGTGAGTGTGTGTGAGTCTCTGTGAGTGTGAGTGAGTGAGTGTGTGTCTGTGTGTGCGTGTGTGAGAGAGTGTGAGTCTGTGAGTGAGTGATTGAGTGTGTGTGTGTGTGAGTGAGTGAGTGAGTGAGTGAGTGAGTGTGTGTGTGTGTGTGTGTGAGTGTGTGATAATACTCACCGCAGTAAATGTGGCTGAACACACAGTCTGTGCACAGACTCCACTGCCACGGCTCTCAGCCACTGCGGCTTCTCTCCATCCAAAAACTTCACCAGCAGAGACAGGAAGATCTCACACTCCGTTACCTACAACACACACACACACACACACACACACACACACACACACACACACACACACACACACACACACACTGCACACTGTAGATACACACACACACACACACACACACACACTGAGCACTGTAGATGCAGAAATTACCAATGTGACAACACACTGATGCATCCAAACAACATCAGCAACTGCAGTGCTGGATACCTGAATGTTTTCCAGCACAGAAGTGCACCACAAACAAATTCAACACACCAATATATCAAAATTAACACAATAAGATGCATTAAACTAGATATTAAATGAGTAAAAATTATTTTCTTGCTCTTTTGAAAATGAAACATTCAAAAATATTCACTGTTGTGAGCTCATTAACATATGGCTGCCTGCATTTACATATCAACAACACCTTTTTAATATTCAGCAACCCATCCTGATGAACATTATGCAGGGTAGGAAATCATAACAGAGGCCATTTACATATTTCAAAAGCAACTTTTGGGCAAGACACTCCAGGTGAATAGGGGAAAAACAATTTACCGACATGAGGGTGAGTAATTAATGACAGAATTTTCATTCTTGGATGAACTATCCCTTTAAACAGTCATTACATTACGTGTGCACTCATTAATGCTCACAACACCCTATTTTGGGTAAAAATAGGAAAGATAATACTTTTCTCTAAAACAGGATTCCCTGAATTATCGTCATTGAAATCGTTATCGCAATAAATATCAGAAATGATCATTGATATATTTTTAAGCCCATATCGCACATTTATCAGATACAATACTTGTGTTCTTTTTTATTATGTATGTCTTTTGTTTTAAGGTGCTATACAAATAAACTTGGACCTTGATCCCTACACTGGAGCATCACTGTGCGTCTCACCAGGAGGCTGTAGAAGTGTTTGATGAGGACCGAGACGACCCGCAGCAGTCTCATGCAGATGGGGAAATAGGGTTTCTCCACAGGCGCCGGGGACGAGGCGCTGCTGCTGCAGCCCTGACGGAACTTGATGTTGGGAGAGAACAGCTTGATGACCAGCGGACACACGCGCTCCTTCAGCAGGAAACTGAACTCCTGATGCTACACACAGAGACACGGAGAGAACACAAGGTTAGAGAGCGATCGGAAGGCCGACAGCTGGGAACCAGTCATTTCCTCTTGTTTATTTGCCATCCGTCTTTCAGGAATGTTTGTTTTCATCGGGATGTGTGGGGTTTACCTGCAGGAAAACTTCAGGAAAGTCATTTAAAACTGATTCCAGCAGCTCCAGGCCGAACGTCCGGGTCATCTCGGTCATTCCCACTAACCAGTAGGGGGCGTCGGCGTTCACCAGCTGACACAAATCCTGCAGAATAAAACTAGTCAATATGTGACCCTGGAACACAAAACCAGTCTTAAGTCGCTGGGGTATATTTGTAGCAATAGCCAAAAATACATTGTATGGGTAATTATTTACTGAACATAGTTTTTTTTTTTTTAAGTTTTGTTTTACTCATACAGCTATTTGCATTATTTAATAAAAGCAATAAGCTATATTAATTTTATATAAATAATTTTCTATTAATTAATATTAATTTACATTCATTTTTAATATTAATTTGATATTAATTAATTTATATTAATCTATAAATGAAACTTTCGGGGCGCAACGCTGTTTGTGCGACTCTTGACTCAGGCTTTATGTTTTGTTTGTTTGTTCGTAACTCTTTTTATTTTAAAAGTTTGTCTTTTATACATGATGGCGGATCTCTGGACAATTCTAGGCCTCTTGGTGTTTGTTTTGCAACCAGTTTTGGCTTTGTGGACAATGCAGACAACGCCGACCGGAGCATGTTCATTAGCCGCGGAAAACTTGGCATATTCGCGGGAACTTTTGCTGAACTTGCATCAGCTTGCTGTCGTTTGACTGTAATGTTGTACCTCAGGCCTGGAAAGAGAGTACCATTATTCCACTGTCAAAAAGGCACATGCTAAGGACCTTATAGACTACAGACCAGTGGCTTTAACATCTGTGCTTTGTAAGTGCATGGAGAGAGTGGTTTGTCAGCAACTCTCCCAAGCAATGATTGGGAAATTCGATCCCTTGCAGTTTGCTAAGAGAGTTGGGTGTGGAGTTGAAGATGCCACACTCACTCTGATGGATGAGGTTGGAAAAAACTTGGATGCGGCAGATTGTTGCGTTAGGATTTTATTTATGGACTTTCCTTCCGCTTTTAATACTGTGAACATAAATATTCTTTTAAGGAGGTTGGAGGAGTTGCAGGTGCACCAAACCCTTATCTTATGGATGAATAGTTTTTTACGGGACCATCCACAGCATGTATTAGTAAATGGGAAAAAGTCGGAGAATGTGGTTTTAAACACTGGCATTCCTCAGGGGTGTGTTTTATCACCAATTTATTTTATTTTTATATAAATGAAATGACCTGTGATACTGACAATCTGACGCTTATAAAATATGCAGATGATATGGCACTGGTGGGAAGTGTAAAGGATATTCAGTCATTAGATACTTACCTCAGTTTTGTTAATTTTATTACATTTTGGACAGAGGAGAGTTCTCTGCAGCTTAACATTAGTAAAACTAAAGAAATGTGTTGTGGGGCTAACAACATACGAGCCCTCTGTGAACCTTTGTTAGTTAATGGAGAGAAAGTTGAACAGGTGGGATCTTTTAAATACTTAGGTACTGCGATTGACTCCCAATTTTAATTTGATTCAGAGCATTCAGATAGTGTTTTTAAAAAGGCTTATCAACGTCTAGGCTTATTGAGAAAACTGAGGAGTTTTAACATTGAAAAGGATATTCTGATTGTTGTATATACAGTAAATCACTTATCAAGTCTGTTCTTACTTTTAATAGTGTGTCCTGGTTTAACTCTCTCTCTGCTAAAAGCAAAAATAGACTTTTAAGGATTATAAATGTGGCGAGTAAAATAACTGGTGAGAGACAAACACCTCTCACTGATCTTTTCACTGTGGCACTAAAAAGGAAAGCCTCTGTTATTGTGGGAGACTCCTCTCATCTTTTTTGTGTTCAAAATTTACAAAATGTATATAATAATCGAGTACACCATGAATCCATTTTCCAAACCGCGTTTTTGGCTTGTCCTGAATCACTACGGTACACCTATAATACGTGTTTATATGCAGACTATTTTAGACTGGTTCGGGTAGGTACCGCTGCGGAGTAGCCCAGTACCTGCGTGATTCCTCATAGACATAAACAGAGAGAAGTAGCTCCGGCTACAATGTTCTTCTGCAAGACGCATGCAGTTCTGTTTATTAACCGTTAGAGTGCCAAAAGTTATGGACTGCAGCTTTAAATATTGTTTCAGTTGTGTTTTTGTGATGTAATGTAGTTTGTTGTTGTGAGGACTATTTGTGCTGTGTGTGTGTTGAGCCTTTGTCTGAAGACAATTTATACCCCACTGGGGATAGACTATAAAGCTTTTGAAATTGAAATTGAATATTATATCATAATATTAAAGTTGCCATGAACCTACAGTTAAACTATATTACTTGTGAAGGAACAGTTTATTAGGGTTATTATTACTAATAAATATAATTATTTATTGAATATTGAATTTTTTTATCATACAGCTGTTGTCAGCATTTCATAAAAGCAATAAGATTTAATATTACTAATTTTATATTATTTTATTTATATTAATATACTAATTATAATATTTCATGTTGCTAACAACCTACAGTCAAACTTACAAACTCTATTATGAACATAATATTTTAAATCCCTTTATATTATTTATTTTATATTTCATTATTAATATATTATAATATTATATTAGAATCATATAACATTATAATATAATCATTACATTAAACGTTCCCAACAATCTACAGTTAATAGTTGAGAAAGAACTTTTTATTACGGTTATTATTACCAAGCAAATATAATTATTTATTAAACATGTTAATTGTATAATTTAAATCATACAGCTGTGGTTACCATTTTACAAAAGCAGTAAGCTACTTGTGACCGTTCATCATTTTACCGTGATTACGTTTTTAGTGACTCACTGTAAAACATATCTACATATATTTTTACTCTGAGTTTTGAATGATGGATATTGTTTGCATTTGGGTTTTGGAACCAATATCGCTGTTGCATCCTTACAGTCTGCTAATGTATCCTCCGACTGACCTGGAACAGCATGTAGGCGTCTTTAGCGCTGGGTCTCAGGGTGCTGACGGAGCGCCGGTTACTGTTGCCCTGGACAGCAGGAGGCTCTTCCGTCAGACCTGCGGCGAGCAGACAGAAAATAACGAACGCAGCAGCAGACGACAGGGGTCTGGGTACAAGAGGAAGTGCAATACAAACATTCACCTTTGAATTTCTCGTCCTCCGCCACCATCCTCTCAAACACCACGGTCACGACCTGTCTGACGGTGGCGGCCGCCGTGTTGTTGGTGATGTTGTCTTTAGTGAAGTGCAGCCGGAAACACAGAACGATGGCCTAAGCACAAAAGCAACATGCTGAAGAGCGAGAGCGGCTTTGGTTACACTATCTGAATAAAATATATGTATGTCCTTAAAAAACTAATTTCAACAGTGTAGAAGCATAAAAGGTACTTGTTTGTGCACTGACATCCTTCAACAGAGCTCTACTAAGAATTAAACAGGCTATTTCTGCTACTGTACCTCTGAAATTTCAATATGCAAATCAGGATTTCCACAGCTTTTGAATTTCTATATTTTCACATGAGCTTTCCTGTCATTTGAGATTAATAGATAAGGATTTTTAAGATCATTTTAAGAGTTAAAACATATCAAGCAGCAACTTATTATTTTAAATTGTAAAAATGTAAATCTGAGAATACAAAATATACAAAATATATGTTTGCTACATAAATTTTGCTATATGATTTTTATTTATTTCCATGACTTTTCCAGTCGTTATCCAAGACTGTGGTAAATGTTGTATAATCCATCATTGAAATTTTAGTAGATAATTATTTTTGAAAGTTATTAATATATATATATATATTTATTTTTTTATTTTTGTACTTTGTAAAGAAAAAAAACAAATACAGTAAAAAAAAAACAAACAAAAAAAAAACTTTAAAGTAGTTTATATTCAACAATATGCTACTATAATTTGAAAAAAATAAATGCAATTTCAAAAGAACCATTAAATAGAGCTGTTTTACTTTTTCAAAAAATAAATTGTTTCAGAGTAAAACTAAATAGAACAATTAATTGTGAGAGTTTAAATTAAGAAAATAGTTGTAAGTTATAATAACTATGAGTAACAAATTATAAAACATTTGAAAGAAAAATATTGCAATTAAAAAAATTTTTATTTGATGAAATGTCTTCCATTAAATTATACTTTTATTATATTAATATTATAATTTTTAAACATAATGAAACAAAGTTATTGCCTATAGATAAAGATAATGATTTTTCTAATTTACTAAAGTTACAAATTATGAAAATTAAAAATACATCTGCAATTCTGAAATAAAAAGCCACAATTACAGATTTTTTTTCTTTTTCTTTCAGAAATAAAAAACTCAAACTCAAATTTTTTTTTTCTTCTTTTCTGACAAAAAAAAAATCACAATTACACTTTTTTTTTTTTTAAAAAACAGGTTCGGAAACATCAATACATTTTTTTTTTTTTTATTATTATAATTTTAAATATTATAAATATTTATAATTATAATTAAAACACTGATATTGGCTGATAACCAAAACATTATGCCACACCAACAAAAAATATTTTACATTATTTTTATAATTTCCTCTTAATTTATGTGACCAAAATATTATCCGGACATGCATTAATGAGATTCCCCACTGACTTTCTTCAATCATATTTCAAAAAAGCAAAACAAATCTTGTTTTTCTTTATAACCAGCCGCTTGCGTCTGTGGGCTTGGTTTAATGGTGTGCTGTACCTTGGACAGCACTTCGTCGTGCACGACGGTGTTGGTGGTGAGCAGCACCAGAACCGTCTGCAGCAGCTTGAGCTCCTCCAGTCCGTTCTCCATCAGCTGCCACAGCATGTTAATGATGTTCCCCGCCGCCGCCTGCAAACACACTCATTAACTCATCTCAACGAGCCATTGATCCGCTCTCACCGTTGAGACTCTAATGTCATTACTGTGGCAGTGCAGTGTTCATAACCCTCATAATAAGCACAGTGAGTGGTTCAACTATTTAACTGGTGTGTGTGTGTGTGTGCGCGTGTGAGAGTGTGTGTGTGTGTGTGTGTGTG